CTTCCCTGCAGCTGAGTGTGTGAGCCTTTAGGACTTAGGAGTTTATGGGAACAGAGATCTACTCAGGGTGTAAAGGAGATGAGCAGCCTCTCCTTAATGAACATCAGAGAGGTCCTCCCTCCTCATGGAAGAAGTCAAGCTGTGGAGGAGGCCCCAAACTCTCCTCCAGAAAAGGTAGAATCTGTAGCTTGTCAAGCTGTGCTGGGTTCTTGGGAAAAGATCAGGTTCATCTACCTAGCAAGGCAGCAGGTGCTCATTTTCAGGATCAGCTCATCTCTCTTCTCTCTCCGTAGTTAAATCACAAGAATTTCTCAGCCACTTTATGTGTGGGACTTGAGCTCACTCCAGCACATCTTGGATTGTAGAGTGGGAGAGCAGGAGGAAACCTTCAGTAGGAAAATTACTGCTCTTTGAAAATGAGCATGGATAAGTCCATCCTTCCAAGGGAGTACTCTACTTTGATGAGTTTCGTTAAGGGTAGCAGATCTTCTCTAAGTTGGGACTTTTACTTCTTGACAGACTGAACTGAAAGGATAGGCAACAGCCCTTTTACAAGCAGAGTTTTTTCTTTCACTGAACTGACAACAGGAAAAAGAGCTATGCCCTCACCAGCTACCAGCACCTTTTTAATCAGGCCTGTCTAGACATTATACCCTGTAATATGGATTGGATTGCTATGATGGGCTATATCTAGGCTCATGAGTGAAGCTTCCATGTCAATGGCACCTTCAGCATGGGCTAAAATACCAGAAATTGACACACTGAAAAACCTAATGGGCCTCCAGATACAGGCTAAGAGCAGGGGCCTTCATCTTCTGTCATTCATGCAGTGGGACTTTGTTTTGATGGTCACATTCCAGGTAACCCAGCATTGAGCTGTTCCTGCTACATAAGCACCTGGTCCAAAGCCCTCCAACAGGGTTTGTTGGGCACCAGAAGCATAAAAATTCACAAATTGCCTAGTGCTAAAAAAACCTGAAAAATTTGGAGACAGTTCACTCTGGTGACCAGAACTTCAGCAGCAACATCATGCAGAGGAACAAGAATCCTTTACTAGCAGCAGAAATTTATAGTACATTCCGTGTAGACAGTGTGCTTTACCCACACCACATCTGCATTCCTCTTATCCTATAACATACCCATTCTCCCCTCTTCCCATCTTGAGATACCCATCCCTTTTTTGTACATTTTTGTAGTACAGGTTGACATTCCTGTAGGTAATTGGTACTTATACATGACTATCTAAATTCCTATTTTCCCTGTAACTCTCCCATCTCTCTCCTCTCTCAGACAATGAAGGCAGAAAAAACAATCTTCCAATTACAGCTCCCTTTCATCAGGGTGTGTGTCCTTTTCACCTGATTTGAGCTTAAGGTCAAGATCTTCAGCCATCTTGCACCCTTGAGCCAGATGTTGCATGTGGCCCTGATCCTGGTAGACTTCAGGATCATCTTGGGTGAGAAGAAACTCCAGATGCAGCCCAAGGGAAAAAGAGGCATCTCTCCCTTCACGTAGCTGTTTTCGTAACTGGGTCAGCTCCTTGACATGATAATGAATTACACCAAAATATTTCCTAAGACAAGTAGAAAGAAAACAAGGACAGTGGAAATGGTAGGAAGTTAATCATAAGAACTCCAAGAGAGATTTCTTTGACTATATCCCAAGGGAACCCTTTAAATTGATGGTTG